AATAGAACACTGGTTGTATCAAAATAAACTTAATCTTAATATAAACAAAACTAGCATAATACAGTTTTCGACAACTAATAAACAACAATTACATGCAGTTACTGCATGTAGAATTTTTAAGCAATAGAATCACGCCCAAATAAAGAGTAAGAAATAAAGAGGCCTGTCTTGCCTCATACTTCTTCTCCATAATTAAATATGGTATAATATTTTGGGCTAATTCGACAGAGGCAATTAATATATTTATTCTTAAAAAAAATGTGCAAATTATATAATGGTTAAAACAGACGGATTCCTGTAAAGAGCTAATAATATTTATTTATTATATATATATATATATATATATATATATATATATATATATATATATATATATATATTAGACTGGTTCAAAAAAATCGAATATTTTTTTTTCTTCAAAGCCCGCATTGAAATATCTTCCTAGCAGTAAAAAAAGAAGCCTGTGAAAATTGTAGCTCTTAATATTAATATTTAGAGGTCGCTCATCGTGAATTTCTATTTTACGTTTAAATAACACAGGAATTCTTTTTTCTTAACTTTGAAATTGTATAACTCGTTTTTGAATGAACATATTGGAATGAACTCTATATATTTTTGAAGAAAATTGAACGTTCTACAAAAAATGACTCGTACAATTTTTTCGTAAATTCACTCCTTTAATAGGTATTCAAGGTTGAAATTAGACATATAATAAATGTAACGTTTAAACAGAGGAATTTTTTTTTTAACTTTTAATTTTATAACTTTTAATAGGTGATAAAGCATCAAAAATAAGGTAGACTTTCATAAAAAAACATTTCTTAAAAATGTTTCCTAAGAGAAATACAGGCCGTCAAAGTTTACAAAAAAAAAATAGTTTTCTCTTCATAACTTTTAAACCACAAAATTAATTTGGCACACAATGTAATATAGTCAGTGCCTTAGTAATGATGTAGATAATTATTAAAAAAAAAACATCAGTGCCGCAGTTACTTGGGGGGCTGCTCCCCTTTTCACCTCAGTCTTTGACGCCACTGGAAATTTTAAAATAATAAATAAATAAAATTTTGATTTGGGGCTTCGTTTCTAAAATATTTGCTCAAAAATGTTTCCTCGCAAAATTACATTTTTAGATTTAAAATTTTAATTTAGGGCTTCGTTTTTGAAATATTTGGGCACACTCAAAAAAACTGCGGCAAAAGTATTCTTGGATAAATAAATTAATTATTTAAAAAATGAAGCACTAAATCAAAATTTTACATGAGTAGTTTTTTTCTCTAATTTAAACAGATAATCTAAAAATGTGTTTATTATTTAAAAAAATTCCAATGGCGCCTAAGGTGAAAAGAGGAGCAGCCCCCCAAGTAACTGCGCAACTGATGTTTTTTTAAATAATTATCCACATCATTACTAAGACATTGACTATATTGTGTACAAAATTTGATAAAAATTGATTAAGTGGTTTAGAAGTCATGATGGGGAAATGAGTTTTTTTTGTAAACTTTGACGGAAAGCGTCTCTGCGAGGAAACATTTTTGAGCAAATATTTCAGAAACCAAGACCCAAATCAAAATATTACAGGAGTAAATTTTTTCTCTAAATTAAAAACTTGACCTACAAATTTATTTAATATTTTGAAATTTTTAGTGGCGTCAAAGACTGAGGTGAAAAGGGGGGAAGTCCCCCCACATTATTATTAAGGCACTGACTATATTACATTTTGTGCCAAATCTGATAAAAATTAATGTTGTCGTTTAAAAGTTATAAAGAGAAAACTAGTTTTTTTGTAATCTTTGACGGCCTGTATTTCTCTTAAGAAACATTTTTAAGAAATGTTTTTTTATGAAAGTCTACCTTATTTTTGATGCTTTATCACCTATTAAAAGTTATAAAATTAAAAGTTAAAAAAAAAATCCTCTGTTTAAACGTTACATTTATTATATGTCTAATTTCAACCTTGAATAACTATTAAAGGAGTGAACTTACGAAAAAATTATAGGAGACATTTTTTGTAGAACGTTCAATTTTCTTCAAAAATATATAGAGTTCTTTCCAATATGTTCACTCAAAAACGAGTTATACAATTTCAAAGTTAAGAAAAAAGAATTCCTGTGTTATTTAAACGTAAAATAGAAATTCACGATGAGCGACCTCTAAATATTAATATTAAGAGCTACAATTTTCACAGGCTTCTTTTTTTACTGCTAGGAAGATATTTCAATGCGGGCTTTGAAGAAAAAAAAATATTCGATTTTTTTGAACCAGTCTATATTATATATATATATATATATATATATATATATATATATAACGCGATTACACTCTCCTGGATATTAAGCCGCTGGCAAGGCAAAGAAAAGTGAGAAGTGTTAAAAATATCGCTGCTGTAAGGAAAAGTTTGAATGAAAATGTGTCCGTAAGCAAATTCAGATCAGGCGCATTTTTGGCTTAATGGCTTTGTTAATAGGCAAAATTACCGCTTCTGGTGTGAGAACAATCCCTAGCAGATAATCAAAAATCAATTACACCCAATGAAAGTTACTGTACGGTGTGGTTTACATGCCGGCGGAATCATCGGTCCATACTTTCTTTGGCCTGCAATAATTGCATAATTATTAACGATGTAGACTTAAAACAAATGTGGTTCCAACAGGACGGCGCAACATCGCACACTGGGGGAGCCACGAATAATTTATTGAGGGATCGTTTTAAGGAGCGAATAATTTCGCTAAATGGATTGGTAAAATGTGCTGGGACTCCCCTCCCCCTTAATTGAAATTTACCCTATCATTTTTGAATAATTTAATTTATTTATCTGTTTTAAATTAAAGGTTTTATTTTAAAACAGATAAATTACCGATGTATCGCAATTGCAATTTACATATTTTATCCGCCGGATAACCGGCTTTGAATCTTTCCGGTATCCGCTATCCGTATCATCTCTAATAAAAACGCTTTCTATTGTGAATTTTAAGAAAAAACTAAAGAATGTAGAGCAATTATATTCGTGTGAAACTTTTTTAAAATAAATGTTAAGTTCTATTAATATTTGTGTAATAACTTATATTCGATTTATTTATATGTATATTCAAATTTTTAAATGTATAATTTGAATTTTATTGCATGTTTTAAAAATGTATATGTATAAATCTAAATAATTTTATTTAAACCAATTTATATTATATTATATTTTGATATGTTTGATCCTGTAAAGCCAAAGAATGAATAAATTATTATTATTATTATTATTATTATTATTGTTATTATATTTTGTTCAAATCAAAAACTTTAGCGAGGATCATTGGTAATGTAGCTATGGGTCCTTTTAAACTAAAAAAAATAAATAATAAACATTTATAAACGTTTTGCGTTACCTATATATAAGTACAGGGTGTCGCGAAAATAGTGTGCAATATTCTACACATGGTTTCTAAAGACAAAAATAAGTAGAAATCTTCTTGTGAAAATAGGTCGGCAAATGGCCCCTTTTCTGAAAATAATGAAATTTTGTATGCTTACTTAACTTGTTATGCTAAATTTAAAATAAACAACAAAATTTAAAATTTGTGTTTATGAGGTATTTAGGGCCCCAAAATTTTTATGTGCAATTATTTGTCTGCAGAATATACAAATTTAGACTTTTATACGTAAAAAAGGTATTCCAGTTAAACTTCAATTAAATTAACCATTTTCGAATAAAAAAAACAAAAAATGTCTTTTTTCTTTTTTAATTCAATATAGTATAAAAAGAAATATTAATAAAAATGCATTCCCGAATATAGATTATTTTATTTCAAACGGTTTTAGAAATAAAAATAATAAAATATCTTTAGGGGCGCCCCTTTTGAAACCATTTGCCGACCAATGGTTAATTAAAGTTTTCTTCCTATTTTTGACCCTAAACCCGCTTGTATTGCACATTATTTTTGGATACCCTGTATATAATATTAAATTAGGACCCATACAGCTACATTACCAATGATCCTGGGTAAAAGTATACGAAGTTTAATGTTTGCATGTCGAAAAAAACGATGATCATTATTAAAATATGTCCATCCAAATTACCCTAGAAAAGTTGTTGGCCAGTGTTATTAATATACCAATAGTAAAACTAAATTTGAGTATACCAACGTATTGAATTATATTTATATTTTATACTTTTTTTTGTATATTCTACTAGTAGGTTAAAACAAGAATAATGTAGCAAGAGAATGTTGACAAGTTTATATCATTTGGAACAAATCCAGGCTATAAAAAATTGTATTGACTGAACATTTATATAAATGTAAGTAATGATTTTAAGAATATTAAAATAAAAATATGTAGAACTTCTTTAGTAAAATTAAAATTAGAATATTAGGAAAGAATGTATGTTACATTGTTGTTTCTGAGTGAATTGTTTTTATATTGTGGGGTGGCCCAGGACGTATGAACGCAACTGTTTAAATATGAGTATACGACTTTGCTCGTGTGGAGCACACGCGCGTGGTTCTAAGAAAAAATTATAAAAATAATAATTCTTTGTTTGTCCTATTCCTGTCCCGTTCCAGTTCAATTTCCGTCCCGTCCTAAGACACCTTTACACCAAATTTGATCAAAACCCGTTCAAATAAATTTAAAAATGGCGAATGCGCCGGGATTAAATATAGCTGAATTTTGTAGTGCAAAATGTCATTCCATGTCATTATAAATGCACTGTTTTTGTCCAGCGATTTGATCTGGGCAAGTCAGGCAATGTAATTATATAATATATAATATATTATGTGAGTCCTGAAGAATAAAAAACACATGTCATTTGCCGTGATAAGCACAATATTAAGTAATACTGTAGTTTCCACCTTTTTGCTTAGCTTGACCACACTTGACTTAACATGTCCGCTTTTGATTCTACTGTACTCATAAATATGTACTAATAAAATGTCTGTTTATGATAACACTGTAAAAATCGTTACCACGCTGTACAATTGTACTTGACGTAAGTCATATTTTTTGGTACTTACTTGTGTGGAGCATCCTTTGTAACACATGATACCACAACAACCGCTTTTTTTGCAGGCTTTCCTACAACTTTGATAGCGGGATAAGTCTTGTTCTCTTGAGTACTGCTCGCTCCGGGTATCGAACCTGCCGATCGCCCTTCGCATAAATACCTGCAAAAAACAGTACTTTTTTAGTTTAAACTATTTAAATTATGTTATCCAAAATCATTTTTATGTCACAAATCAGGGTTGCAAGTTGCAAATTAAAATTTAAAAATATTTTTTAATTTTACCTAAGGTGTCTTCCATAGTACCCTACTGTAGGGTTTGGGGGTCTAATATCCTCAAAAAATGTGTACTGTATTTTCTATTTGAACTACCATTGCAATTATTATTAAAATAAATAATGTACACCAACTTTAAGCAGTGATTCTAGGATACGAAGCACATGGGTTCGCAGAAACTTCGGTTTTAAAATCTATTTGAGTAGGTATGTAAAAATATATGAAACGTCCTATTGTAAACAAATAGACAATTTTATCTTTTAAAAGCTTATTTTTTCAGAGGGTACATAAAACACCCTTTTCTTTAATTTGCAAAAAATATCAACTTGTAACTTAGTTATTAATTATAATTGTATTTATTGAGCTTTATTTATCTTTTACAAATGGTTTATATAAAAAAACCTAAATCCTGTTTTTACTCAAAAACGATTAACGTCTTCCTAATATGTACGTAATAGTAGTTTACGTAACAAGAGTGGTAAGTAGTAAGGCCGAGTGCGTAATTCCGCGCGTGCGTAATTGCTTTAACACTCGAGGAACGTATACGTATATATAAAAGTTGAAAATGTTGTTTTACATAGAGTTCGTAGATAAATATATTTAAATTAAAAAAATGGTATCGTTCCAGTAAAAATAAAACACCTTGTGTAAATAATAAAAATATACATAAATACAAAATAAACAAAATGTATATAATTATATAAATATAATATATATCGTATTATTAAAATAATAAATTATGTTATTAACATTTTGGCTTGTGCAACATTGGACAATATTTTGTAAATCATATTTCATTTGTAAATTTAACTTATTATTATGGTAAACAAATATTAGAAATCCAAAATCTAGTAACAATATGAAGAAATTTAGAAAACGTCGCTCCACATCACTTGCAATAAGAAATGCATTTAAAAACTGAGATTATGCATCTGTCATCTGTCAGTATGGCGCTATTTTCGTCTTATTTTCTGAAGATAATAACACTATATGAATAGTATTATACATAAAAACCTTTATAAACAAAAGAAATACTATTATACTACACAGTACTAAGCTCCACACCTTAAGGCCTACTTTGACATATAAATGAGGAACGCAGCCCCATAATTGAGGTAGTGTAGTGTAGTGTAGTGTAATGAAAATAAAATAATAATATAATATAATATAATATTACGTAAGTATGTTTTTGTAAAATAAACTACGAACTTTGTACACTACAAATTATTTTCAGAAAATAATACGAAAATTGGCGTTAAACTGACAAATGTATAACCCTAATTACAATGTAGGAAGGTAAAAATATCATAGCTAAACGCTGAATTTAATTTTTTGTCGTAAATTAAAAATTCGTGCTCAGTGGCGGCTGGTGGATTTTGGGTATACCAATATTTCAGTTATTAGACATGGGACCCACACCAGATTTATAATAGTTTATAATGACATTAAATAGACAAGTTCGGCGCAAACAGAATTTAAATTGAAGTTTGCGAAAAAAAGTTAGTTTTTTCTGTTGCCTCACCCGCCTCCAGGCCCCCCTATTTAAGATAATTCAAATTAAAGTAGTGCAATTTATTATCTACTATAATTTATCGAAAAATATAAATTTTATTTAAAAAATCCAAATATTACAGGTTTTATACCATTTTAAATATTTTTTTATTTTAATAAAATAAATAATAAAAATTTAAAATTGAATAAAATCTGTAATATTTGGATTTTTTAAATAAAATTTTAAATTTGTCGATAAATTATAGTATATAATAAATTGCACCACTTTAATTGGAATTATCTCAAATAGGGGGGCCTGGAGGCGCGTGAGGCAACAGGAAAAACTAACTTTTTTTCGCAAACTTCAATTTAAATTCTGTTCGCCGAACTTGTTTATTTAATGTTATTATAATTTATTATAAATTTGGTTTGGGTCCCATGTCTAATAACTGAGATATTGGTATACATAAAATCCACCAGCACGAATCGTGCTTGGTTTGGCTGTATCAGGTCAAAATTTAAAGATATATAAGTTTTAGAGCATCAACACCCTAGATAAATTTTACAAATTATAATATACCAGAAGGTATATAGTGGATCCCCGGATCGGATTGCCAATAGGAGAAACTTTTTTAGACCTGATACAGCTAAACCAAGCACGGATTTGGAATCTAAGACCAAAAATTATGTTTACGTGTCAAGAGTTAAAAATTAACCTACATTGTTATTTGACTACGTTTCTCATTTAAATGTAGGCCTTTTTCATGTGGGGCAAAATATATACGTAATTAATAACACCCTGTTTATGCCATTGACATTTTGACTTAGGGCAATATTTTGCAAATTTAGAAATCGTACAAGTTTTAACAAAATTTTGATGCTTATACAGTTCTAAAATAAATAACGGTTTTAACTGTATTTTTCCCATAATTAATTTTAGTAAAACAGGTTTTTAAATACTTGGAATAAATAATATAACCACATTTATTAACATAAACTATAACTACAAGTAGTGTTTTTGCAGAATTTAGTACAATTGCATCTTTGGTAACTTTGCTTAGAACCAGAAGAAATTATATTTTATTTTGAGCAAATCGTCAGACAAAAAATGTAACAGATTGAGAAGTGGCATCAATACATTGAAATGGAGTGATTCGCCCCGCCAAAAATGGATATTAACTGAAATATCTAGTTCTTAGTAAATATGCATAATAACTTAGAACTATAGGCATTACGCATAATTCCTAAAATGCATATATGCATTATATATACTTAATGCATTATGACTGTTAAACAACACGGCGGAGAAAGCATATTGATTGCGTCTTAGATTAAAAGTCTAGCTAGCGGACGGTGGGCTGACCTTGGACAAAAATACTTCAGGGGTCACTTTTTACTAGAAAATTTTGAAACATGCAGTCATATAGAAAAAACTTCAAGGAATTTAAGTATACTTAAATTCATATATGTTTTCATTTTTATTATATCTTTTTTAATTATAAAGTTATAGCCCGTCAAAGTTGATGAATTTTTAGTATTTAGATTTATTGAAAAAAGGAAATTTTTAATCATCTACACTCGACCGCAAAATTAACCGGACACTTGATTTTTCCTTAATAAAATTTCTTAAACGCCCTGTATATTGATGTAACAACTATACACACATAAAAAAATATAAGATTAATTTATTCTAAAGTTTTTTAGGCTTTAAAATACGACGATGACATTGTTTTATACATTTTTTATATCTTTAACATCTTAATTGTTTGGAAGAGTTTTTTAATTCATTACTTATTTAAAAGAGCTCTTCAATTAATTTTTATTCCTGTTTGTTTTTGGCCTTTTACGGTTTTTCTTAGTTTGTTTTAAAAGTTATTTTTATTTAAAAAATCTGTAATGACTCCCGAAGAAGCCGCTCAAGCTGTTGCACTTTACAATGATGGACGCAGCATACGTTATATTGCCAACTCACTAAATATTCCCCGAAGTACAGTGTCTGATGCAATTCAAAGGTTTAGGGAAACAGGTTCCTATTCAAGATTACCTGGACAAGGAACAAGTGAAGTTGAAGACCGTTTTCTTCGACTTCAAGTTCTGCGAGACCGGACACTTCCTGCTACAGCCTTGTCTAGGAGATTGGAAGATGTTCATGGTACAACCATTTCATCAGATACTGTACTAAGAAGACTGAGGGAACATAACTTAGTGCCCCATCGACCTGCCACTGGCCCACTGTTGGACGCAGCCCATCGTAGACAGCGCTTGGAATTTGCGCGAACCCATGTCGATTGGGGTATGGTTGAATGGAGTCGTGTTCTCTTTACGGATAAGTCCCGTTTCACCAGATACTCACCTGATGGTCGACAACACGTGTTTAGACGACCCGGAGAGCGATATATTCAGTGCTGCTTCTCTCCCAGAGTACAGTTTGGCGGTGGAGGTGTAATGGTTTGGGGAGGCATTTCTTTGGAGGCTCGTACGGCACTTGTAACGTTTCAAGGGGGTAGTATAAACGCTGACAGGTACATAAGGGAGTGTCTCGAAGAACATGTGGTACCTTATGCACCCTTTATTGGAGACCAATTCTTCCTTATGCAGGATAATGCTCGGCCGCACACAGCCCAGTAACGCGTCAGTACCTTCACGACGTTGGTATTCAGGTTCTGGGCTGGCCACCTAGAAGTCCTGACCTGAATCCCATTGAGCATGTGTGGGATAACCTAGGGAGAAGAATTAGGCAAACTACGGGGAGTTTCACACACTGGTTCAATTGGAAGAAGCGCTATTGGTTGAATGGGAGCAGGTACCTCAGGGTGATGTGGCTGCTTTAATTCAAAGCATGCCTGAAAGGCTAAGAGCTGTCATTCGAGCTAGAGGTGGAAATACTCGCTATTAGGGCATTTTTTTGTATTTTTTCTCTTAAATAAAGGATATTAGTTTGTTTTATTTTTCAAAAATGTTTTTTTATAAATAATTAACAAATGTTTTTTTAATTTTTTCTGGTTAAAAATGTTTAATAATAAGGGATTTATTAAAAATAATTAAAATTTGTTTATATTTTCTTATTTATAAAATATATTTTCCCGGTTAATTTTGCGGTCGAGTGTATATAATAAAAACCAGTCGACGAATTATATCTAAATTACTACCAAATTAAACAAAATAAAGAAATAAACAAATATAATCAAACAAACCTAGGCATTTACGATTTTAAATAGTGTTAAAAACACTAAAATTTCACCCCAAAAACGACACAAAAGCCCATTAGCCCAGATTAGCCCGGGCGATATTATGTTGAATTATATATCATCCTCTAGTAGACAGTGTTGCAAAATAATAAAGCACATAGGTCACATATTTTTTTCCTTGTTTAATTGTTATTGGCGATTTCGTTCG